GGCTGCAGATAGCGAAGAAACGAAAACAGCTAGCATGTGACAGCTTAATGATTTGNACAACTCGAAGGGCGACATCTGCTATTTGGAGAATATTTGCGGAGCTGAACAACCCTAAACGTGCACTATCGAAGATGAACTTAACATCGATGGATCGATGGAGGTAAGCGTGTTTTAGTCATGTTTTTAAACTAGGAATTATTTTGAATGAACAATAAAAGAATTATTGAATTCGGCTTTCGTCTTATATGAAGAATTATGGAGATCTCGGTGGAGGGTGTTACCCGCCTCGGCCTACGGCCTCGACGCATCCTCGATCTCCATAGTTCTTCATAAGATACTCAGCCTCATTCATTAATTGTTAATTAATTCCTGCTAATAACTTTCTTCTTGAATCTATTACCGTCCCGGACGAATCTTCAATAGTTTCCTTTCATTTCGCAGTATTGTACCACATGCAACAACCATACCACGCTTGGGCTGCCTGTTAGATCAGCTGGCCTTCCCTTTTTTGCACGCGGGCGCGTGTGAGAGTTATGGCGGTGAAGCTACGAGGGAATTTCAAAGCGTCTCCTCTTCTTCACCAACGTGAGCGGCTTTGCAGCTCCTCTGCCAAAACTCTGGACGCGCTTCTGATCCCGCTGTCTACGCAGGCTGCAGATAGCGAAGAAACGAAAACAGCTAGCATGTGACAGCTTAATGATTTGTTTTTATTTTTACGTGACAGATCGAGGAATCTAAAAACAGTCTTAAAAATATCAATATGGCACGCTATGACCCAGGCGTTTTGCAAAAACATTCCTGGGTAAAGGGCTCAGTCCTGATTAGATCCCAGGTGCCTTACTGCTAATACGGTTCTGGTTATGCTTCTACTTTTACTTCCTATTCAAACGTTTTAAGATTACTTTCTCGAAATGATCATTACTGGTTAACTGTTTATACTCGTTTGGTCTGAAATTGTCTGATTACTGGGGAAACTCCTTCTCCATATTCAATCACCACTAGCTTCAGGTGGCACGTTGTAATACGGACGATCTTCATCGTGTTTGTTTAGATGCAAGTATGGTGCATCCCTCTCCATTATCACCTCCAGTTTTTCGATCAGTTGATAGAAACTGGGACGAGAGCGAGGTTCCTCTTTCCAGCAGTCAGCCATCAGCTCATATCTGTTATGGACCAAAAAAAACAAAAACAAAAAATCAATTGAAGTTAGTCAGAGTTCCAATCCATTATTACATGTATAGACACCGTTTTTTTCCCATTTAGTGGAAGAGGTTTCCTTTAGACCAGCTGGGAGCCACTCACGCCGGATCACTAGGCTTTTCGGTTTCTTGCCAAGCCTGCGAGCAAGCTCTCCATTTGGGGGCTCTCTTCAAGTATACGCACGTGCGACACGCGAGAGGAAACACGACAGCGAGGGGCCCCCCGCTCGCGTGTACTCGCGCGGTTCGTTTTCCTCGCCCAAATGGAGAGCTTGCTCGCAGGCTAATTCTTGCTCTGTCGATCTCTGTTAAATAACACTATCATATCACTGTATGAAACAAATATTTAAGCTAAGATTTTGCCGTCTGTCTGTTCAGTAATCACTTTGATCGAAGAAAACGTCAAAATCGAAACCGACTTGTCCTCTGCAACTTTCAAGGCTATTTATAACTAAAAAGACGTATGGACAGTTCTAAGACGATTCTGATCAAGAAACGCACACATCATCGGAGCACATGTCAGGCCTTTCCATGCGATAACCAGTGCCAAGCAGTCGATACAACTCTGAGTTGGTCAGCGTGGGGTATGGTACACCTCCTGATCACGTTATGAGAAAGAAAAAATATACATGTTATTATTTGAAAATACGGCTCATTCCCCTGGATAGCTTTTTCCTAGAAATGTCAATGTCGACGACTCTTCATTCCCCCGTACTCAATAATGTAGTTTTGCAATAGAATAGAGATTGAGCAGGGGTCAGAATTGCATTGAAATGTGTCTTCAAAGAAAACAGGGTGCTTAGTAATAAGGCTCCTCTTTCCAGAAAACAACTAATGCGTGCATATTTGATGCCGATTATCACTTATCAGACACAGAGCCTAGTTCAAAACAAAAGTGCCTAGCTTGCCACAAATAAAACTCATCAGGTATCAGCCTGTTTCCTGGTAACAATAACCTTATTTAATAAGGACTAACTCTTTAAGTCCCAGTGTAGTCCTTTGATATCAGTCGCACAATTCAAGTCATATACCCCGTGGCAACAGCGAGGAGAGTTCTTGGGATTCCCCTCCCCTTGGAAGTTTACATGATTAGTGTGTGACGGTCTACTCACCCAATGTAGCCATCTCCCAAAGAACAACACCAAAAGACCAACTATAGAGAAAAGCACAGAGGTCATGAATATGTCCACTGCATGAACATTACTTTTCTTCTCTTCTTTTTACTTGGTGAACTTAAGGCAAAAGGGCGTATCTCCACCTTTCCATGCCTTCGCCCTTGACTGAGCCCTATGACACCAGGCCTCAGCCGCCCAAAGCCCTTAGCCAATGGCCTAGCAAGGTCAATAGAGTAGGGATCGGAAAAGAATACCAGTTTAGGTGACGGGTTTGCCGCATAATCGTAACTAAATAATCTTTACATACACTCCGAATTAAGAATTCAGCGGACGCCGCTCTCGCTCAGGACTTATATGCAAACTATGTAGACCCGAGTCGAAATTATAGTGACAAGTGCGAAATCAGCCACTATAACCACTGAAATTCTAGATCGGTTTGAAATAAACTCGCCGATCACGACTTTTAGGGAAGCTGACTAAGGTTTTCTGAGCAGTAATTTATCGAAATGTGTTTAAAAGAGTGGGATTTTTTTATACTCACACATCACTTTTGGTGGTGTAAAGGCCTTGATAAAGTGCTTCGGGAGCCATCCATTTTACAGGAAGCTTTTTGGACTTCGCTGAGCTGCTCACATCTTCATAGATTTGTCTCATCAACCCAAAGTCTGACACTTTGATTTGGTTGTCATGGCCAACAAGAACATTACGGGCAGCAAGGTCTCAACAACAAGATTGTTTTCGGCGAGATGATTCTAATTTTAAGAAGGAAAACGAAAAAATGAAAATAAGTAACATAAAACTTCAGTTACGGGGCTTCTATTGCCTAAAAAGGCATGGGTGAAGGCGTGAAAATTATAGGAGCCAATAATCAAAAGTAAAATATCACAACTGAACTGATCTAAACGGCTGATTCAAGTTCAGACAAAACATGCCGAATTTGGTTCGATCGACCATGACAATTTCTCCTCTAAAAACCATTAATCATCTAGAAAATTAACTTATTTATCCTTTATTTCTTGCTTGTGGAATAGTCTTTGATAACTATCTTTGAAGGATGAAAACAAAACCTGAATGGAAGCAACGATTCTCAGAAAATAATAACATAGTAATTACCATTCCTTTAGCAATTTGCCAAGCAAATAAAAAGAGTTGTTTGGTTCGAAAGTTCTCCTCCTCGTCTTCTTCATCACTGCTGAGATCCTCGTGTATGCTTTCGATTACAGGTGGCATGGCGGGTGAAGGCTTCGCTTGACGTTTTCCTGTTGCCGCATGGCTGCTTAGTAGCCAGTCTTTTTCCGTTACTTTGCACTCCACATCCTTAGGGAAATTTACAAAAAATAAATAATGGTCTAGCTAAAACAACTCGAAGAAATCGTACAGATCGACTTAATGGCTAAGACGCAGCTTTTGCGCAACTAGAACTCGGCCAGCCGAGAGGTCTGATCAAGATCATTCAGTTGCTCTTTTCAAAGCCTTGAACGCCCTTGTGGACGGCCATTCTTCAGTCGTTGCGGTCTGTGGCGAAGGTTTCCCATCGAAGAGTGGGATTCGATTCAGTTTTTTGTTTCAGGGCTTCTTTGAAGCTCTTTAGTGGGTGTCCAATGCTACGTGTACCGCCTGCCATCTCAGAGAAGAAGACCATCTTCGGGAGGTTCGTGTCCAAACCACTTGCCAACCGTATCAAAGGCCTTGGTCAGGTGCACAAAGAGGATGTACAGGCTCTGATTCTGCTCGCGGCATTTTCCTTGATCTTTCCTATGGCGAATATCATGTCGATTGTCCCTCTGTTTCTCCTGAAGGCACACTGACTCTCGGACACGAAATCATCCAAGAGGTCGTGTGTGATACAGCTCAGTATAATGAGTGCCATGAGATTTCCTGAAATACTCAACGGCGAGATGCCTCTGTGGCTGTCACAGGATGCTCTGGCATCTTTGTTCTTGTACAGGTGGATGGCGTTTGGAGGTCGTTAGGGAGGTATCTCATCAGGAACAGGTGCTTTCCCAGCCTGGAGCTGCTTATTTTTTTTTTGTGGGTTTCCTCCAGTGTTGGGGGATCGTCAAGAGAGCTTAGAACCGGGCGCTGAAGTATATCTTGGATTGCTTACTGGTCGATTTGTTGAGAAGTTGACTAAAGATTTTTCACCAACTTTGAACGATATCAGACTTCCCTGTAAGCAGGGTTCCAGCCGAGTATGGGACAGGAGTCATGAAATTGAAAGAGGGGCCATATATACAGTCTTCGAGCCCTCGAAGAACCTCTTAAAGTTGTGCTCGTCTGAGTATTGCTGCAGCTCTGCAGCCTTGTGTTGCCACCACGTATCCTTCATCTTTCTCAGCTCAGTCTGGACTTTGTTCCTGAGGTGCTTGTTTAATTGAGACGATCGTGCCTGCCAGTCGAGGTCTTTTCCTAAAGCCAATTGCTAAATGCTCGCTGCTTTTGCTTCAGAAGGCATGCGTTTTCTTCGTTGTTGTTTTCAAACCAGTCCTGGTGTTTTCGCTCCTTCTTCCCAAATCAAATGCTGCATCTCTGACTACCTAATAAAATATGCATATTTTGTAAAATGCTATTTAAACCGGTTTGCTTCAATCAGTGATCCTGAAAAGCGAACTACACCTGTGGCTTAATGAAAAAAACGCGTAAAACGTGATTTCAAATAACACGTGACATTTCTTCATCATTGACGTCACAAACACGCTTTCCTTCCTTTCTTAGGAATACACTTCTCAGCTGCATCTATTTGGGCCTCGATAATCGTAGTATACAGATCGTTCACAGTGTGTTTTTCCTCAAGCTCGTACAGGGCCTCAAAGCGATTCTTAACTTCCACAGTATAAGCCTCTCTTACGGAGTGGCTGGTGCTAAAACAATGCCAGTCGAAACTGGTACATTTGGCAGTTGTTTTCCCATTGGCTAGCAAACTGAGGCGTAGTTTAGTTACGACAATTTTATGGTCTGAATATACTGTACTGAGAGGGTCATATGCCTGATAGTCTTTGAGACACTGTTCCACTATTTCCTGTTTACCAGTATATAATCAAGTTTGGCTTTGCAACCATTTGGGTACATGAACGTCCACAACTGTTAAAGCTCTTTTGGAAGCGTGTGTTCTAAATTATAAGCCTACATGCAGTAGCCATATCCAGCATAAACGTTTTTTTTCCAAAGCTAAACCCATTACAGTCTAAGGGACTGATTTGTGCATTCAAATATTACCACATATGATTTAAGGTTATGTCCAGGTAGCTTCTTTATTAATTCAGAGAATGTGTTGTAGAAGTCTAGAGCATCGCTGTCATCCGAGCAGTTCGTTGGACTGAGCAGCATATAATAGTAGTAGCAGGGTTGTCACTTAAGTTTGCCACGATGATTCGGCTATTCACCACCACAATATTGTCCTCGAGGGAGTAGTAAGCAGAGGGGCTTAGTAGCATACCCACTCCTCCCACGCAACTGTTAACGGACTTCCTCCAGCACGAGGAAGTGGCCAAGATCCAGCCTTTGCCGACATCAGCATAGTGCACGTCCGCATTATCGTGAAATTTTCGATGTTCCTGCAGACAAACAACAGATATTCCTTTCTCCTCTGCCAGCGCGGTAAGCTCTCCAATCATCTCAATGTAGTTGAGTGAACGGATGGTAAAAGTTGACACCAGAGTGTTTATCTTGCATCTTAAGAGTCTTCCAGTAGCTGACTTATCAACTCCAACATGGTTGCCCACTAGGGGTCGCGGCCCTTGTTTATCCCGGCGAGGACCGAGCAAGTATGTAGGGAAGTTTGCAGTGTTTATCAATAATAATAATAATAATAATAATAATAATAATAAATGTCTTTATTGCTCATTAGATAAAAAATACATATCCAATGTTACAGGATAAAAAGATTAAAAGTTCAGCTAAATTACAATAGAATAAAAAGATTTAAAAAATGCAAAAAATAGTTACACATATCTGACATAAAATATCATTAAAGGTTGTATTTAAAAATTAATCTATTTACAAATGTGTTCTTATAACGTTCGGTGTTTATCTTGGGCCTTTGGAAGCTTTTACGTCGAAGATTGTAGGTTAGATTGTTCTTTTCTTGCGGTAAGCACACCTTCAGAGGGTGGTTATCATGCTGTTTAGCTTTTTGAAAAATCGCTTTATCTTGTTTTTGTAGTAATAATCTAATATTTAACTGTGTAGATATAAAGCGTAACTTATAGCATCTGTCGAAAAATTGCTGAAGGACATGAATTTCCGCATCGGAGGCATCATAAACAGATAGTCCGTAGGTTATGTTAAGGAGAACAATACTATAGAACAGATAATCAATTTCTGTCCAAATCAATGTTTTGCTGGGCTCACTGAGACAAATCCCAGCAAGCGATGCTGGAGGAGCGTCAGACCTTCCAGCGGTGTGCTCGTTTTCTGTAAGGGTTGTCTCCCTTAACCTGTGGCAAAAAAAAAACCCTGACTGCCAGGCAACAGTTTCGTGACCTTGACAGGCCTAACGGGTGTTACGCCTTGCCCAAGGGCTACCCGGAACTGTACATTGCAGGGTAGGGAGGTTCATGACCCTGACGCACCAAATGCACCAAGTACACCAAGTACCCGCATACCCATACCCGCATTACTTGTGGTGGTAAATAATTATAAAACTTCTTACTTGATTTGTAGCGGAAGTTGAGGGAATCACTTCAAGAACGGCATCTTTGTCGCTTTGCTGTGCAATGTTCACTTGTTCCTTTTGTGCAGAATGTTCATCGTCCATAGCCTCACTATTAAACCGGAACCTTTGCTAAATGATTTTTAAGAAAGGCGATTAATTTATATGTAAGAAAATTGTAACATTACATTGTTAGAAGCTACTGTCTGTAACTAAAAATTGAAATATCACACAAGTTTAGGCAGACTAATGCCTTTTTCTTCTTATTCTTTTATTTGCTAGTTCCCTCAGCTTAAAATCCAATTTAAATCATGCTATAAAATCTTATGCACTAATAATTATCTTCCATGAGTTTCGGGGTACTTGTGCTAAAACTATGTAATTCGACTAACTGAAGACAGAAAGGAGGTGAATTTGTTTATTTAAAGTTCTACTGAAATAAGATGGAAATTTTATTTATAATTCTTCAAAAACCACGATATTTAATTCAATAACAATTGTCTTTTGTTCCGTGATATCTCTTCAGTCACGTCACTGAAACGTCACCTTTCGCTTCGCCAATGCCCTTAGGAATGAAATATATCATGTTACATCCTTCGTATCGCGAGACAAGGCATCCTCGGAGAGCCAGAGGCAGTCAGTCGGGTCGGGAGAAAAGGCGCGGCAAAAAATAGTTTTCAAGCAAGGGCGGAAGAGCCCCTGGGTGCCGACCCTTACTAAATTATTTCCAAACGGTCAAGCTGACTGTGTTCAAAGAATGCTTTGTATTATTGTGCCCAATCGATAAACACCATCTCCTGAGTTCTTTTGGTGTGTTCGTACACGACAGCTATTGTCTCGCCATTATGATACTTGTTTGGCTCTTGCACCAAAGAAATACACGTTGCCAGGAAAGTTTCAGTTCGATATAAAGCCCGTTCATGAATTCAAAGAAACTGCAACTGTCTACCCGAAAACTAAATTTGGAAACGTATGAAAGGGTATTTAAAAGGTGCTTATCCAAAAACATAAACTTGAGCTTACAACACGTATTCAAGCTTGCATCGATCCTTATCGATCACGCCATCGTAAATATCATTTACGATATCTTGAGCAGCGTGTAAAGAAAGTCGTTTCCGGTAGCCCGGGGCTAGTGGATTTTGCTATCGGGCTAGAGATTTTTCCCGACGGGCAAGAGCTGTTTTTTGGGGAAATTCTAATTACAGAAGGATGGTAATCAGTCTTGCTAATCAAAAAGGGTTTGGGGGCTAGTTGAAATGACTTGTGGGCTAGTACATGCTAGCTACAGCTTGCCCGAATGGCAGGGTGTAAAACTGACTTTCTTTGCACCCTGCTCGTGACAGAATGGTCTAGGAGCAAATTGGAACGGTCCTGCTGATTGCATCTGAAACGTCTTCCCAAATCATCAGTAGTTCCTACGTTTCTTGTAGGGGCAAGGTGGGAAAAGCCAAGATTCTCCTTGCACGCCCAACCTTGGTGAAAGTATGGCGAGATAATAGCCGTCGTGTACGAACACACGGAAAGAAAATAGAAGCCCCTGTTCGCCCATTGGGCAATATAATACAAAGCATTTTTTTGTGCCCAATCGGGAGTCAGCACTCGCTGGATTGTTTGAAAATGGTCTGGTGATAGTCGGTAACCAGGGGCTCAAACGTTTTTTCCCGAACCACCTGACTGCCCCTAGGCCTCCAAGGATGGAGACAAGGCCGCTTGTGGCTTGAGTGTGTTTATTAAAATTCTTACATCAGGGAGACTGTGAGTGGCTGACGCCATGTCCTTTGGGTCGCTACTCTGGCGCAATGAGATCATTTCCGTGTTGACCTGAGCCTGCTCTTCCTTTACCGTTTTCTTCAAAAGTTTGCCTGCTTGTTTTTGCTACGAAGAAGGAAAGACCGTTCAATCCACCCTATAAGAGTGTTCCACCTTCCCTCTTATACCACCCCATGAAAACGACATGAAAAAAATTTATCAGAGGGCTTTAAACATAATAACTTTTTGGTGATTTTTACATGCATGGAAACCATTTCTGTGTCTTAACATAATCTTAGGACGCTTTCCATTTGTGAGAACTGACCGGCCAGACCATTCCAGTCATAATGAGAATTTCACTTTTAATCAAAACTATCCGTCAGATCCCAAATAGCGGGCACAAAGGAAATGGTGTTTCAACAAAAGCTCTTGGAAAAAAGCATTTTTCATTGTCAAAATGACCGGTGCCGGCTATGGTCTGGCCGGCCAATTCTGACTTTTGGAAAGCGCCCTTAATAAAGTCTGATTACGTACAATGAGCCGTCCACCAGACATAGAGAACAAACAACAAACGGTTTGGGGACTTTGAAGAATAGAAAAAATAACAGGGTCAAACAAAAATGGATAAAATATTGAATCAGTACATTTTTTAATTAGCCTACCTTATCTCTGGTCTCTTCCTGATCTTTCAGAACCTCTTTGTCAGCATATGATCTCTCGGAAGCTTTAAGTTCGTTGATCTAGACTTCCAGCAAGCAACGTTATCAGTTTCGGAACAAATAAAGACCAATACATCTGTGTGACTTTGTTTAAAGGTGCCCGCAAAGTTTTCGCTTGCACACGGGCATCAAGCCGGGGAAGCCAAAGAGCTTATCAGAGAGCTTAGGCCCGGACCTAGTAGGGTGGGTGGCTGGCTTTTTTGTGTCAAAAGTAGGGGTTAGGTAGGGGAGATTTTGTCGCTTTGATAGATTTTCAATCCAGAATGCAGTTCAAAGTCAAGGAAGTTTCCTGTAAGCTAGCCCAGCCACATAAATACTGTGACTCATAATCGGAACAATACTAGCAGAGCTTGGCGGGAGTGAGTTTCATGGGTGGTAAGGATGAGTTCTTGCTCCTTGGACTTGGCTGTCCAGTAGAGTGAGTGCAGGCACCTTGTATCAAATCCAGTCAGATATATGATAATGTTGAAATATTTTCCCTTAAGCACTGAGTAATCTCGAGAGAAAGTATTTTCTCTTTGTAACAAAAGTTTTTAAAAAAAATTCTTATGATTTCAATAACAAGGACTTTATCGGGTATGAAATTGGCAGCTTCGCAGATGTAAATCTGCGATAGTCCCAAAACATGATAGGGCTGGCAGCTATATAGTCATAAAAAATGGTGTCTACCCTTTCAGAACACGAAAACACGCTGCAATGATTTTCTTACCTTTTTTCTTCTGCGTCGTAGCCACGTCAAGAGGTCACCACACGGAACGTATTCTATGACCAGGAACATTTTCTCTTCAAGCGTGCAGCATCCAACCATGGATACAATGTTCTTATGTGAGCCTAACAGTTTCATTTGTTCAATCTCAAACGTGAACTCTTCTATCTGTGCCTCAGATGGATCATCTAAAGACAATTTGATAAAATGATTATGTCTTCTTCATTCTTCCTGTGACAGCATGTTATTTCAGTGCTAGATTTTTCATTTGCGTGACAGATATTCATCCCTTTTTATCGCACGCATCCTCCTATGCACAAAAAGACAGGTAGATTGTACTTTCTAAGTGCATTTCAGTTTAATAGTCACTTTACCACCCCATCTTCTTAGTTAGCAGCCTTGGAGGGGATGCGCTATCTGGAACAGTCAGGGTGGGTAAGGCATACTACCTTGAACTCCTACCCCATTTACCCTCAGGCCTTAGCCGTTGTTTTCGAAGGAGAAAAGTGGTGAAAAGAATAATCGACAACACCAACAATACTAACAGGAACCAAAGCAAGCGAAATAAAAAAAATTTGACTTTTTTCGACTGATTTTCTGTTAGGGTCTCAGAAAGGTCCAAACAAGAAATAAAAAAGAATTCGTTTCTGTTGCAAATAAACAACTGGAAATAAGTTACAAATTCAATTAACGCTTACGGCTTTGTCTCTTGTTTTGTAGATTAAAATATTTCTTACCATGTAAAACTTTGACAGCCACCACCTGTGGTGCCTTCGTCTTCGTGGATGAAGAAGGCCATTTGGAAGTCTCAGTCACCAACGCCTCCATCTCATCCCTCTTTCTAAAGGTTGCTTTGTAAACAACACCAAACTCTCCTCTCCCTAGCTCTTCCTCGAATTCTATTTGCTCGGGCAGCATTTCCCATTTATCAGAGGGTTGTGAATCAGGTGATCTGGAGAAAAAGGACATAATAAAAGCTGGATTAAGGTTGCTATTAATTAAAAAAAGCGCTCGTGCATAATCGTAATGATAGCGGTGACTGTTATCAGTTTAAGCACCATATCTTCAACCTGAAAAACATACCAGCGCTAAAACGTTTGGCTTGTACACGACTATTTGTGCAGACGTGGACGTATAGAGAAACCAATGAACAACGCATTGAACAACGCCGTTCTGGAATAAATTCGAGGCGGAAATCGACAAAACGGAATTAGCGACTGTAACAAAATTTGCCTACTTGCAAGAGCTATTGGAGCCTAAAGCCAGGGTAGACATCGATGGATTGCCGCTTAATACAGAGAGATATGAAAAAGCAAAAAACATAATCAAAGAAGAATATGGAAAAACGAGCGAAGTTGTCAACGCCTATGTCAATAACATTCTTCAACTCCCCACTGTGACAAGCGCCGACCCAAATAAAGTGAATTCCTTTTACAAACACTGCTGTTTAACGTCCAGTCACTGGAAACGCTTGGAAAAATTGAGAGAGTAAACGGAATGACAATAAGCGTGCTAGATAAATTGACAGGAATCAAAGCCGATTTGGTCGGGGGACAAGAAAACTGGCAAGACTGGGATTTACCCCGTTTGGCCCAAGCTCTGAAGAAATGGAGAGACGTAAATCCAGCGAATGAAGGAAATAACGTCGAGAGCATGACTACTCCGTCTAAGCGCCCTGAGAACAAATCTCGTTTTTTCCACGCAGAATCCATGGACAAACGCCGTTGTATTTACTGTGATGACGCGAGTCACATCTCGAGCGATTGCACGCGCGTATCCACGATAGACGAGAGGAAAAGAATACTAGCGCAGAAGCGGATGTGCTTTAATTGCACTGGGCCAAGACATCATGCAACTGAGTGTAGGAGTAGAATGCGTTGTCAGAAGTGCAGACAGTAACACCATACATCGATTTGCAATCAAGGAGACCAATTGTTGACAGCCACCGAGAACCAAGGGCGTGTTGTTTATCTTGTGGTGATAGTAACCGTGGAGGGAGTACTGTATCGTGCACTTCTGGATACATGAGCTAAGAGTTCGTATGCTTCAGTTGTGCTTTTGGAGAAACTTCCCAAGAGCTCTCGGGCTAAAGAAGTTCTTCGAATAGAAATGATGCTGGGATCGACCACACGTGAAGTAGAACTTTCCAAAATCAAAGTACGTTCAACTGATGGCAGTGACGAATTAAACGTTGACGTTACCAAGGTCGAAAGACGGGAGTTGCTGATGATTAATAACCCACACTATCAAAAGATTATCGAGTCATAGGCTCATCTAAAGGGAGTTGAGATGACGGACTGTGACCCTAAGCCATATCTCCCAACACACCTGATATCAGGGGCCAGCGAGTATACAGGGATCAAGACGTCCGAGCTCTGCCGCGTTGGGCTCCTAGGGGAACCAGTAGCAGACAAGACCAAGCTGGAGTGGACTATTATGTCACCGTGAACTGAGATTGACCACACGAATATGCTGCGGACTCAAACGAGTCGTGTGGATTATGCAGAACTTTGTCGGCTAGACGTCTCAGGTTTTAGAAGATACCCCAGAACATGACCAGCGCACAGTCTATGCAGAGTTCAGAGAAGAGTTGCTACGACACCCAGAAGGCTGGTATGAAACCCCGCTACCATGGAAAGGTAGCCATCCGCCTTTGCCAAACGATAAAGCAGTTAGTTTGCGAAGGCTCAGCTACCTCCAGAACAGACGCCAGCGGTTGGATGTGACCGAGAGTTATGGAGAGATAATTGAAAAACAGAAGTCCGTGGGAATAGTACAAGTCGCAAGTGATTCATCGCAGGGAATTCTACATACCTCACAAGCCGGTGGATCCGTATTGCCGGATTGGCAAAAGCACTATTTGCAATTAGCTTGATTAAAGATAAAAGATTAAAGGAGCTGAAACTACGAAGCTAAGGATCGTTTATGACGCCTCGTCTAGAGCGAACCCTCATGTGCCAAGTTTAAATGTTTCTCTGTATGCCGGACCACCGCTTCACAATCACCTGCGGAGTATTTTTAGTACGCATGCGCTTTCATCCAGTCCTTATCACTGGGGACCTACAACAGGCCTTTCGTCAGGTGCGCATAAAGAAGGAAGAGAGAGATGTACTTAGATTTCATTGGAAGACCAGCGAACATTCTGAAGTGGAGGTGTTGAGATTCACGCGATCTCTGTTCGGTTTTATGCCTTCTCCCTTTTTTCTTGGGGGAGTGATAGAGTGCCATCTTGAAACCTGGGAGTCTTGTATGCCACACCTTGTTGCTGAACTGCGCAAAAGCATGTATGTCGACGATCTGATCAGCGGGAAACCAACAGTACCAGAGGCGAAAAGAGATGAAAGAGGGAGCCATAAGAATCTTCGAAGATGCTAAGTTCACGCTGTACAAGTGGCACTCGAATGTTGCCGAGTTAGAAGGGAGTGAAAGAGGGGTTGAAGACGAGGGCACGTTTGCTAAACAGCAGCTCGGTCAAACAAAAGGAAAGACAGGCAGTTTTCTTGGACTCTCGTGGGACAAACAAGAAGATCAGATAAGTGTTACCATGCCTCAATATGATGCAGTCGCGTCAAAAAGAACATTGTTTCGTAATCTGGCAAGAATTTACGATCCCCTTGGTCTCGTGGCGCCGGTAACTACCAAGGGAAAGTTCATCTACAAAGACGTTTGCAACGTGAAGGTGGCTTGGGATGCACCGTTACCTCCACCACTAGAAAGCCAATGGACACGATGGAAGAAAGAGTTACCAGCCGAGGTCAAGGTGAAAGGGCTGTGACAAATGCCCGAGAGAAAATTGAAAGAATTGAGCTCCATGCCTTTGGCGATGCGAGTAAGAACGGAGTGTGTGCAACAGTGTATGCAGTTGTGAGACAGCCATCAGGGGTGAGCCAGGGTTTGGTTACTGCAAAGGCTCGACTAGCGAAGCAGGGGCTGACCATTCCGCGATTAGAGCTGGTGTCGGCACATATGGCAACGAACCTTATCACAAACGTAGAGAAGGCGCTTAAAGGGTTTCCTGGTAACGTCGCTATGGATGGCTGGATAGCTCAGTGGCTCTCCATTGGATAAACGGTGGCGGCGAGTACAAATAGTTCATAGCAAACAGAGCGATGAAAATACAAGAGCATTCAGGGATCACTTGGCGCCATGTACCCACCAAGGAAAATCCGGCAGATCTGGGAAGTCGAGGAGGGCAAGTAGATGACAGCAAGCTGTGGTGGCAAGGACCAGAATGGCTTTCAGACAAAGAAAAGTGGCCTACTAACATCGTGACAAGTCGCACTCCTGAGAGCCAAGCAGAGGCTAAAATTACCAAAGAACTTTTAATGGCGCCACTGCGACAACTGGGTGCCTCAATGTTCTGCTAGGGAACTTTGAAATGACCAAGACGTTGAGGATTGTCGCCTGGACCGCGAGATTCATACGGAATTCACGCCTGAAGAAACAAGAAAGAATGATGGGTCCATTGACGACCGACGAGATAAAAAACCAGCACCTGTTTTGGACCAAGCGCCCTCAAGAGATTCAAAGCGATGATGTGACAGACGATCGACAAAGACTGGGTTTAGAAGAAAACGACCAGGGGATACTCATATGTCGAGGTCCTGTACAGGTACATTACTCGGTATACCTGCCTGACAAGTACCCCTACACAGTGAAACTCGTTGAAGACGCCCATCGCTGTACGTAGCATGGAGGAGTCGGTTTAACAATGGCGCGGATCAGAGAGCGTCATTGGGTGCCGAGGCTCAGACGTCTGACCAAGAGTGTTAAAACAGATAAAACAGTGTTATGGTTGTCACCGTTTCCAAGTCAGAGCCGCTGCTAAACCACCTCTAGCCCTTAGAACTATCGTGCGACTGGACACCTTTGACAACTCAGGAACACCTAAACCCGGAGGTTCGAGAGTTCAGACCTACCCGTAACGCTGCAATGGCAGCGAGAGTACGAATGCAAGATATTGCTGACAAAGAGCAAGCGAACTGAACATTGAGCACCGACTCTGTAGAGAGTTTGAGAATCGTTTCGTTTTCTGCGATCGTTTTCACTTACAAGAACGTTTAGTATGATATGGTTTCTAGAGATAAATGCAACATATGTCACCTAAAGGTAGACATATGAGGGAGAGTGTCGGAACTAATAACCAATCTCCTTTGTAAACATGATTTAAGTTTTGTTTGATTTTAGTCACGTGATTTTAAAGAGGTGTTATGTGATAGATTACACGTGAGAACCTGATTGCCCTGAACTTTGGAATTGAAAGCGAAGCTGAAAACCTCGTGATTGATAGCAAAATAGTAGAACAATAGGAGATAGTAAACGAGAATTATTTTGTCATGAGAGTGTGCTGTACTGTGAGGAAAGGAATAAAAACCTTCTGTGAGTGTGTTGGATAGCAACTATTTTGGAGGCAATTCCCAACAGGGTTGGTACAGTTGAAAGAAATTTAAGACCACATTGAATTTAAACAGATTCGGACATATGAACGGACAAAAACTTGCACAACGCCGTATTTCGTTTACACGGAACCCGCGAACAGTGCAAGTTTTTGAATAACAAATCATACTGAAAATTGATACAGAATTTGCACGGTTCGACAGTGTAAAAGGGTTGCACGGGAAAAGCCTGAATCATTCGTTGAAATATTTATCCGGTCCCGTGTAAACGAGATCTAAGAGAAATTTTTCATTTTAATGTACGGGTAATTTTATTGATGAATGAAGCTTCATCCGACTCAACCAGCCCTTGCCCTTTTGGGTACTGCTGAACACATTTGCTCCACTAGCCCATTTTTAAGTGAGAAAACGTTACAACGAAAATTTGCCATACCCGATTAGAGGTCAAACGCCGCTTGTCGAAACCGGCCTTTGCCTTTCAAAAATGCAACCTCACCGACTGGGCATAGTTTGATATCGTGTTGACATGAGAGATAACTCTTGGCCTAAGATAGGCTCAACAGCGGTTGTCTGTTAAAATAAACAGCTGGCAGAAAGAGGCATCTCAGAAGAAAGCTGTCAGCCAAGGACTTTGGCCATTAGCCTTCAACCTATCGTTTTCGGTAATTCACCCAGCCTAAAAAAAGTTGAGTTTCTTAGTGCTAAATGTTCGTGCTCAGGCTCTTGGGGGTTGAGTCTAGGTTGCGTTCTCTCGACGTCGAACGCAATAACATCTTTTTATAAGTCAAGTCAATTTTCAATTTATTTTTCAAGATATACTTCTTTAGGATCTCTTCTTTCTTACTGTCATTTTTAGGTTTTCAGCCCCTTGGCTAAAACAAAATGCTTGATTGTTTTCTTTGTAACTGTCAATGGCGGGTGCACGACGCTCTAAGTGGCCACGTGACGTAATCTAAACAATAACATCGCGCTAAAATTAAATGCTAGGAAAGTAAAATTTTGCTTATATAAGTGTTTTTGATACACCTTCAACTAGAGAAAAAATTACGCCGAACAATGTGGCTAGCAAATTAAAAGATACACAAACCTTTCAATAGTCTTTAGCTTCTTTCTTCTGTAGCACCAGACAACAATAGCCACGGACAGTAGCAAAAAAGCGGAGGTGATACCAAGTGAGATGTAAATGACTTTAGAAATGGCGCGGGTCGGATTTTCGGGTTCAGATATCGTGGTGTTCTTAACTGCAAGGAAAGGTATTGCATTATAAATGGCATGGGAAACGTGCGAGTCTGCGCTGAATAAAACAGGTGCCTTATCTTGCGAAAACTTACAAAAAGGTTCTTAAAATCTACTTCGCTGCTAAGCATGGCTATTCCTCCTTCACGGATCCTGGTTAGAATAAACTATGTTTTCCCTGTTTCTGAGGAACATGGCACGGCGGACCTAAAGTAACAATTTTTAGCTATTTTGTGTTCATTATACTTGAGCTTACTTACCACTATTACACAGATCTCCTTCACAACAGTGCAAATGATGATCATCAAATTGTCTGCATTGATCAGCGGATATACAGCCTTGAATGGTGACTTGTTCGCCGTTTGACGTTGTATTGTCATATTTGAAACAAAGGTTTTCTGGAAAAGTACAGCTGACTTTAATGGGAACAGAGGAATTCCTGCTAGGGTACTCATAACAACCTAAAGATAAATGCAGAATAATAGAAGCCTTTAAAACCATCCAGTATCTCTGACAAGGTCACTTACCTCAAAGTCTGGGGCAAAAGCGTGAAATTATAACTTGTAGACAAGCCTAAAAGCGGAGCTTTTACTAAATTGGAAGTCATTCACAAAAATTTGATAGACTTTAACCTGAAAATACTAAACAAAAGCTTAATAGGAAAAACATAATGCCCATTTCGCCCAATTTTAGAGAAAAAGTAATAATTTTCATACAACGTCTTATGTGGTTGTTGCTGTATGAATAAATAATTAGCTAAGTAAAATAAGGTTGTTCCGGGCTCTCGTATTGAGCTTGGGCTATTGCGATAATGTGCTAAGTGTAACCTTCTCGATGTGGATGATAGAAAACGTACTTGTTGTTGACGCTGGCATTTCACAAATATAGTTCTTTTCGTCGTTACAGTCCCCCGCCTTTTCTATCGTTTGAGTGTCTGTCGCCATTTGCAAACAATTCGAATCACCTTTTCGGCCAATCCATACGTGCTGTATAAAGCAATTTCAAGGGATACAGAAAAAATATTGAATGGAACAATTTACTACAAAAAATACAATTAATTAAGGTGGTTGTAAACAGTTTGATAATGGGAGTGTCATTAATTCAAGACTCGTTGAGGCTCATATTTGGTATGGACAGAATACATTTATACTAAGGACAATAAATTTGACATTTTAGAAGTAAGATTTCGATCGTTACCATGGCGACAAGGATGTTTTGAAAAAAGCCTATTTTTACCTGGTTTTCACTAGCGCATAAGCGTCAGCATAAGGACATACGCACGCGCAGAATGGTACATTTGACTCAATTCTCGATACCAGCTCTCCTCGACCCAATGATAAACAAGATGGCGGACGAAGCGTCCGCCATATTGCTTTTGATATGTTCGCATGAGGTCTGGGTCAAAGTGGCTTACGATTGGTCCACGGCCTTGGGCCTATGCATGTGCTTATGTCGACCCAGTTTTCACTTGTCAAAGCTACGACATGGGCATAAGCACAAGCACAAGAAGAACGAACTTGTCCGTTTTTCTTGTGCTTATGCTTACGCTTTATGTCGACCCAGTTTTCACTTGCTTACACATGTGCTTGTGCCTATGCTTATGCTTATGCGCTAGTGAAAACCACGCTTAACCTCATGGTAACTTCTCGGCCAAGAATTTTCTTAAGCCTGGTTTTCACTAGCACATAAGCATAAGCATAAGCGTAAGCATAAGCACAAGCACGGGTGTAAGCAAGTGAAAACTGGGTCGACATAAGCATAAGCATAAGCACAAGAAAAACGGACAAGTTCGTTGTCCTTGTGCTTATGCTTATGTCGTAGCTTTGACTGTTTAAAACTGGGTTGACATAAGCACATGCGTAAGTACAAGGCCGTGAACCAATCAAAGGTCACTTTGACACAGACCTCATGCAAACATATCAAAGCGATATGGCGGACTCTTAGTTTGCCATCTTGTTTATCATCGGATTGAGGAGAGCTGGTATTGAGAATTGACTCAAATATGCCATTCTGTGCTTGAGTATGTCCTTATGCTTGTGCTAATGCGCTAGTGAAAACCAGGCTTTTAACTTCTCAGCCAAGACTTTTCCAGGAATGATAATAAAGGTGATGTTGTTTCGTGAGTTTTCCGCCTGATGTAAATAACACCACTGCCAACATGACACTACGGAGTTACTTAATTATGATCACTTACAATCAAATTAAGTTAATAATTTTTGTTCAGAAGGGCATATATCGTTATTCAATCAAGATAGCATTTTAGATCAAGACGTCTCAGCCGATGAGAGGCAGAACAACTGGTTTTCTATCAAATTCACCAGAATTGCTTGGAATGCATGTATGAACGATGAACCTGCATTTTATAATAATTCACTTTGTGCGCTCAGCTTGCCAAAGTAACCTGAGATCAGGCTCAATTTTCGTTTCGCTTTGTAAATAACATTCCTGCGGGCATGGCAAAACGAAAAGAGAGCCTGATACAAACCTTCTACGAAACGTCTGCCGCTCACTTTTTTGATTGATTGACATTTGCCGAATCAGCCAACCAAAATTACTTCAGTTCCTTGTTTTTTTAATATGCAAATTTTCCATACGTGGGAAAAATGCAGACTTGCTGACTTAAAAAATAGCTTTTACCTTTTAATTAATATTTTCAGCTAAAAATAAAACAGTCAGCACAATCACATTTAACTTCTTGCGAGATTAAAGGAGATTTCGAATGTTTTTTCTATTGGCGTAGAAGGTAAAAAGTCTTCGAAAAGACGGCGACACCAGATGTTTTAGTTTTAATGTTTAGGCTAGGCGCGCTCGAATTTAAAATACTGAAATTTTTTTTTTCCTGTTGCCTGTACATTTTCCTCGGCAATTTTCCCCGATTTTCAGTACAGAAATCTTAAAAAATCTTAGAGAAATATATCGCGAACGTTTTAAAAGGATATATAAATTATCTCAGAACAAAGCAACGAGTTCTCAAGTGCATTTAATTTAGCTGATTTAGTCCCCTGAGTACACTTGCAATTTGCGCATTTACTAGAGAAACAAACGTCTAAAACAAATATATTTCTTTATAAATCCATGTAAACATTATCACTTTGGAGAGCTATAAGCAAAACGAAAAACAATATTACAAACACACTTTGTAGTTCTCCTTTAATTAGTTGTGTTGATGTTTTACTGCAGGTCTGAAAAGCTCGCTAAATTTTATTTTATGTATCGAAATTAACAAACAGCAAACAGCCAACAAGCGAAGACACCAGTTTCCCTGGTTTACTTTTACAAAAAACGAAGGCATACAACACGTCTGTTACCTTAAGAGTAGCGCCACTAGCTTTTATGATAATGCCAACAAAAATTCCCTGAACAGTGATCATGCGATGTTTTTCGTCTAATACTTCACAGTTGGCGATTGAAGTTTCTTTGGCAATGAGCCCTCCGTTTGCGTACCCCGCTCAGAAAAGTCATTCCCGGCTAAACTTTCAAATAAAACCACTTTTGAGATGGACAGTATTTTGATCTGCACTCGTTTGTTGGTAAATCAAAAAGCACCTTGTTAGCGGTCAACACCGAACTTGCAGAGGGATTCAACTCCGCTATACACTCACATTAGTTCCGTAAATAAAGCAAATCCAGAGAAGATATGAACAAGTATATGAATTTTCTGAATTTCCATGGTACATATTAAGGCATATTTTCCTACCATAAGACCATCAAACAAAAACGACAGCATAATCGACCTTTCTCTCCGCCGACGGCGGATCATTCACGAAAACAACCACGAGAGGAATAAGAGCTTTCAACTTCCGGCGTTTCCGACAGCCAATCAGATCTTGTAGCATTGTTATAACAGCCAATCATCGTTACGGCCAAAATCTGGCCGTAACGAGCACAAACGTGAGAGAGTCTGTATAAGGCCCAATTTTAGCCGTGGCCGTTAGAGAGAATGTATGAGAACCGCAAAAATTGGGCCTGATCTCAGGTTATGCCAAAGTAACTGAGCATGAGAAACGTGGTCTTTTGAACACTTGCGTTTTTCAAGATACAGATATAGATGAAAATGGAATTAAAACTGTCTACGATCTACATCACTGATTCAATTGGGTCTGTGACACGAACTACACAGATGTGATTTCTCCGCATTCCTCTTTGAAATCTCGTCTTACAATTAATTACCCTAGCCTTAAGGGTGCTCTATCAACTGCATAAAAAACCTAACATCTCAAGTTAAATGCCCTTCTCCTGTCCTTATACGTTTCCTACAGATCTGATGGGAAGAGTAATTGTATTAAGAATCAGTTACATTCACCTCGGGTGATCACGTCCTTATACAATTAATTCTTTTGACTACGTACTTTGTTTTATAATGCATTAATATTACATAGAGAAATTTCATGCTGATCACGCGATCATGAGACTCAAAGAGTTAATGACTCGATACTTACATCTATGTTCGTTTTCTTCAGACCGGTGACCTCCATAAAGTGAATCAAAAATCGTTTTTGATTATCATCATCAACCTTCACTAAATCACCTCCGGAAGCAGAACACCCTTGTTTTGCACCTTCCCAGGTATCTTTATTATTTTCCTTGTAGCAAGATACTCCACTGAGAAACCAGTCAGCAGAACATGCCAATGGACCTAATTTGTGAAACATTTACAAAGAAAATAGTTTGAACCCAGTAAGAATCATGGCCTTGCTG